TAAATTAGAGTTTACAAAGACTTCTTAACAGAACAGCATTCCTAATTTCCCTGACCCAGGCAGGATGGTTGCAAGCATAGCACTGGCCATTGGTTAAGGAGCTTGGGATTCAGGTCCTGGATTTGCCATGAAATCTTAAGGGATTCAGTCGAGTCACTAAATCCTTCATATTTGCTGTATGTTGAGATGGAAACATTGAGGAGTAAGTATGCAGCTGAGCAGGCATCCAGAATTCAGATCTGAAAGCCTTGTGGTGCTTTGCTGTGCAGACCTGCAGAGCCTGGGTGACATGAGCTCCCCAGCTGCCTGCTTGCCCCCAGTCCATCGTCGCTGCTGGGAGCTGAAAGAGCCAGCCATGAGTCTAAATAAAGCAGTACAAGCATTTTTGCATAGACACTCCCTGTGTTCCTGGGCTGTGGGTGTTCAATGACAGCGATCAGTGACAACCTGCAAACAATAAACTCATTCACAGGGTACCTCCAGTCCCAGCCCGGCACATGGAGCTCACAACAGGGAGTGGTGAAGGTGTGCGGAGGAAGAGGAGCAAGACTGACTTACATGCTAGAAGATACCACAAGAGTAAAGGCTCATGCCCTGCCAGGAGCACTCCAAAAGCAGATGCCCAAAGGTTCAGAGCTTGTGAGCTAGCTAGCTTTTATCCTTTTTTTTTTTATTTTTTTTTTATTTTTTTTTTTTTTTTTTTTTTTTTTTTTTTTTTTTTTTTTTTTTTTTTTTTTTTTTTTTTTTTTTTTTTTTTTTTAGGAAGAAAGCTTCTCTCCTAGCTTCAGAAGCAGGGCTCTTGGCAATTTTTGGTAGTTACACAGATGGAGCACAGACCCCAGAGCAGCAGGGCTACAGGGGTATTGTCCCGCTGCTCTTCACTGCACGGATCCCTGCCCCTTACTCCCAAGAGATGAAGCAAGACCCATTTTGGGGATAGCAAAAGGAGCACCCCTAACCTGGCAGTTACACACACCCCGCAAGGGCCACCACTTCTCATCGAATGGGGCTGAAGCCAGCATCCCTACAGCCTCATGCCCATCTGCAGTGAGCCTGTCCTGGTGTGGAGAGCCCCAGGGAGCCTCATTTGTGCCCAATACAAATCAAAGCATCCTCATGTGCCCTGTTTAAACAAGAAAGGCAGCTGTGCTAGAAGAGACAGAAATACTACACTGGCACAGGTGACAGTGTGTAGGATGGCTTGGAAGGGTGGACACGGCAGATGTATAATTGAGACAGGCTGTGGTTTCAGTCACATAAAAAAGTTTCATGTCCTCAATCCCTGCAGAGTAAACAACTCTGCACTCTTGCTGCCTATTCCCCAGCAGAGTGTGGGGAGTGAGTTCCATTCTCCAAAACCAACCAGGGTCACTCTCACAGAAGTGAGAGTTACTGTATCTTAAGAGTAACTTTAAGAGGTTATGCACGACATTAATTTTCATCTGCATTTAAAAGAAGGCTCAGTCTGGCAGCTGAAAGTTGTATTGGATTTGGCACAGAGAAGTACATTGCCCTGCTTTCTCCAGTTGCCACACCAAGACAATGAGCTAAACACAACAGCTGTGCGGACGATCAGCTGAGGAGAAACCACATATGTCTGTACAGAACCCAGATCATGTTCATATGAATCAATCCATTTCCGACTCTGATTAACAAGAGTTTATAAAGGGTCTCAGATTGCTACCAGGCCAGGGCTCATGTCTTTTATTCATGTCTGCACTTTGCGGTTTAATCCCTGTATTTGCAAAAACTTGTTAAAAGGAACACGTGCCGGTGTCCCAAACAGACTCACCTCCCTTTCCCCTCCCAGTTAAAACACGTTAACTAGGAAGCAAACACTCCTTCTTTCTGCCAAGTCACTATTTTAATCCTTATCAACACTAAACTGTTGGCTTCTGTGAAGAAGACCACCTCTCCTCCATTGGCAAACAATGCTCCTCTCCATGGGGGAGCACTGCAAACACTACTGAAGACCCACCGATAAGAGATTTGAAACTTGTATCTTTGCTCAACAGAGATAGTAAAACATGAATGCCAAACACCTTTCTTTGAAGAACTGAGCTGCAAGTTGCCTCACATATACTTTCTAATCACAGAGAGAAGGTGGATCTTTAAATAGCATCTTCACCAACAGAAGGCATTCTTTAGAGTGGCCTGACAGAAAAAACCTTAATTCACGTGAAGGTCACCCTTCAGAGCTTAAACAGCCTAACAAGAGTCAAGACACAGTGTCTTCCTATGCAGCTGGCCTTGCAACCTCATTTGCAGTCACTGGGAAAGGAAGCCCATTCCCAGGAGAGTTTCACAATCCCTCCTTCTCTTCCCACCATGCAAGTCCAACAGCACCAGCTATTCCCACTCCACTGGTACCATCCTGCCAGCCGCCAGCCCCAGCCTCTCACCCCACCTGGCCCTGCATGCTCCACCCATCCAGATTCCCGAGGCTGCTTCACTTGCCATTGAAATAGGAGAGACACCCCCTTCATGTGCTCGGCTAGAGTCCAGATTAATGCACATCCCTGCCTGTCTTTAAAGGAAAAAAATGCTGCAGTTTTGCTGATGCTTGCAAGCCTAATTTCCTAAGTAAGAGGAGAGATCTTGCAGTCAAATTCCTCTTCTCCAAACAACAGGCTGTTGTTCATTGCACAACAGCCCTGTTTGAGTCCGTGCATCTCTATCATTACAGGATTTCCCTGCACAAGCACTCTGCCTGGCTCGTGGCAAGGATGAAAACTTCCTGTACCATGGCAGCAATGAGTTATCCCCACCAGAACAGGCACATATCCCTCGTGCTTATTAACAACTCACTCCTCTGCCTTCTCCACCTGCTCCTCAGGGCTCCTAACTCCCACATGTTCTCCTCCAGCCCAGCTCTTCCCCTGCACTTTGCAAGCCCCAGGTGAGTCCAGTTACACCTCCCACCCACTGTCCAAGCTCCGGCCACCACCTGTGGCTGCCCCCCAGGGCTGGTGATGCCTTGGTGCCTCATTAACAGCCCCCCCAACTCTGCCGTGCTCCCAGACTCATTACCACTCACACAAAAAGCACTGGCAAGGCTCCGCGATCAGTTGCGCTCGCTATTCATTACACATGTGCAGAACACATCCCTGCTGCTCTGAGGGAGCAGTGTGCGTATTCAGAAAGACAATATACAAAACATAGCTGAATCCTAATGAATCTGCTGCTTTACTACTGGAACTGAATGGAATCGTGCAGACCCTGCCAGCAGGAGGGGAAAAAAAAAAAAAAAAAAGACAAGACTACACAATATTTGAGTTGTAATATAATCTTTAGCATCGCTTTTGCGGTACGTTACTATTGTGCTTATCAGGCCTGTAAAGTATCAATTATAATGAGGAAAAGGATCAAAATGCAACAGGCAGCACAGTGCCAGCCCTGTCAGAATATTAAAGTCAAAAAACCACAGTCCTGGCAAAAATTAACTTCACACAGTATGATACCTCGACAAATAAAGTCCCCACCAAAGCAGGATTAAGCAACAAGAGCTATTAGTTCAGATGCATCTACTGAGGTCTAACCAAACCTTCCTGTTTTGATGGTAACAAGCCCAAATGAGGTCAGGCAGGAATACATCTGTTTAGTACCAAGTTCCATACTTAAATGTTCAAGCTCCACGAGGGGAACAGCAGTTACAAGAAGAGTCACATTTCCTCTCAGCAGGTAAGATTTACTGCAAACTTACTCTGTGCTACACAAATGCTGGATCCGCCTCCTCCAGGTGAAGCTTTTATGCACCAGCAGGAGCAGAAATCACAGAGCACCCACACGCATCTGAGTGGCCCCTGCCTGGGCATCTTGCCCCACCTCCTCCCTCCTCAGCTGGCAAGGAGCGCTCAGGTTTGAGAAGTGTCCAAGAGTGCCCATAGCAGCACAGACCCGAGATGCGCCAACCTCGGTGATTACGACCAAGCGGCATCACAGAGGAAGCGCCAGAGCCATTGATTGTGGGGAAATAAATGGGCTGTGGGTGACAGCCAGCCTCGATGAGACCTGCCAGGGAGAAAGCTGGGAGCTGCTCGCATACCCTCTCCCTAACCACCAAAACTATTTGCGTTTAGACAACAGGATACTCAGTGTCGTGCCTGTTCAGCCTGGCAGGGTGGGAAGTCTCCGTAGATGAGGGGTTTAGGGCGAAAGACCGAGCGGGCAATGTCAGACAATTGAGCGGCTGCAGAAAACGCAGCAAGACGCTGCTTTTAAGTGACAAAAAAAGGGTCCTGACCCGTGAATCGGGCAAAACGCGAAGTTTCTCCACATCTCCCTCACTACCTGCCCGGTGCCCGGGACAGGTACGCAGGGACTTCAGATCGCCGGGCGGGACCTGCCCGCGCTGCCCCGCGCTTTCCCCGCCGCTCCCGCCGCCCGGCCTCGCTCGCAGGGACCGCTGACCCTCCATCCCCGAGCTGACCCCGGCCCCACTTGCGGGAACCCCGATTCCTAGCCCCACTCGCGGAGACTGCCTCCCCCGGGAGCCGGCTATCTACCTACAGCCGTCCCCACTATCTGTCCGCCTCCTCCTTCTCGGATCCGGACCCTCTCCCTCGTCGCCCGGTCCCACTCGCGGGACAACCCCTGCCTGGCCCCTGGAACTGCGCTCGGGCTCCACTCTCGGGGACCCCTTTTCCTCGCAGCTAGTCCCGGTCCCACGCTCGGGAAACATCCCCTCGGGAGCTGCCCCCGCCCGCCACATCCCATCACTGCTGCGGTTTTCCACTCGAGGGAACAACAATGTCAATAGGTCTGTCACCCCCCCCCCCCCCCCCCCCCCCCCCCCCCCCCCCCCCCCCCCCCCCCCCCCCCCCCCCCCCCCCCCCCCCCCCCCCCCCCCCCCCCCCCCCCCCCCCCCCCCCCCCCCCCCCCCCCCCCCCCCCCAAGGACCACCACACCTCTCCCCCTCCAGCTTCGCCCCCGCAGGTCCCCGATACCCCCCCGGCGGGCCCCGCGGGACACGGACACGCGTGACGCCCCCGTCCCCTCACCTTTGTATTTCTCCATGGGGGTGCAGCGGGGCCGTAGCCCAGCAGCTCCCGAAGGCTCCGGGACACGGCACCGCCTGCGCTCGGCTCCGCTCCCCTCCCGTATCCTCCCGTTCCAGCAGCGCCGGCTCCCCCGGCCGGCCCGGGCCGCCCCGCCCGCGCCGCCGCCCCGCCCCGGAGCCGCGGAGCTGGCCGGGATCGGCGCTCCGGGGGCTGGGATGGAGAGCTGGCACGGGGAGGAGGACCCTCTCCGCCGGCCGGTCCCGGGGAGCGGAGCCGAACTGGGGCCGGCGGCAGGAGAGGAGAGCCCCGGGGTGCCCGGCTGAGCCCGTGGGTGGCTCCTGGGGCTCCTCGCTGCTCCCCAGCGCTGTGCCCGGGGCGGGGGTGCCTTGCCTGCGCCCCGTGTTCGGGATGGTGTGTGCTCCGGCTGCAGTGGGGCTTTGGGCACATCCAGAGAAAAGCCCTGGTTATCCCAGGATAGCCGTGTGTGGTTCCGGTCGTTCTCGGTGCCAAGACCCCAGGGCTGGAGGCTGCCAGGGAGCCACCTCCTCTTTGCGCTGGGTTGGCAGGCTGGAAAGCTGAGTTTTCCTTCCACCTTCCCCGGGGCAGCTGTATCCCAAAGCCAGTGAATTTGCGCTCTCCTTTCCAGCGACTTTATTGAGGATTCCTGGTGGGACCTTCCTCCTTGACAGAGCCGATCTCACAGGAAAATGTCCCTCTCATTGGGTTCCAGTGACATTTTTGTCCGAATTCCACCACGACAGCCAGAGCGAGCATGTCTGAAGTGCACAAATGGAGAAGTGGGCATCCAGGCTGACCTCAATACAGGGCACAGGTGACAATCTGTCTTCAGGACAATATTTTAAAGACGTTGCAGGGATTTAATGTTTATTTATATCAATAATGAAAACACTGAAAGTTACCGTAGGCGAGGTCTAGGAGGGTTGTAGGGGAAATTTTGTCTTCGGAATTAAGCTGTCAGTGTGGGGAAAAGGGAGCCTTTCCTGCCTATTACAGGGCCTTTATGGCAAGGTGCCTGACTGGGCTGGGCATCTCCACTGTTCCTGTGGAAAAATATACAACCATTACCTAGAAAATTAACTGCTCTCCTTGGGAGCTGAAAAACAATGAAGCTCTGCATCATTCACCGGCTCTCTGTGTGAGCATCTTATTCTCCATCCACTGGAAGCCAGTGGTCACACCAAGCTCAAGTTGCTAAGATTAATCCTCATCCTGCTGCCTTAACCCCTTTGGGCTCTGGGCAGAACAGGGCTTGGGCCTGGCTCAGGTTGAAAGTGCAGGAGGGAATGTGGTGGTGTGGCCTGCGATGGAAACGAACCCCTTCCTGCAGAGAGCAGTGGAACAGATGAGTGGGTTCCCCAAAGCTCACTGCCCTTGCACATGGACTCTGCTATGCAATCCAGGTTCTTGGCCATCAACCCACATCTGAAGAGCCTGGGGTACTCAATAGTGGCAGTTTCCACATATCCACCTGAGTCAGATGGTAGGGGGAGCATAATTGTTTCTGTGAGATTAGCAGGGTCATGGTGTCAGCAAGGAGAGTTAGACAAAGGCTCACAGGAAAAAATCTGCATTTCCTAATTTTTTGACCTGTCAGCCCACAGACCATTGACATCTGTGGTCCAAGGCAGCCTTGGGAAAGGTTACTGCTGTTTATGTAGGAAAAAAACCTAAGCCTCCATCATGTGGCTTTCCTTACATTTTCTGAAAATAGCCATAATCAGTTTCTCTTGGCTCACATGGAAAGTGAGCAGCCAGGCTGGAAGAACACTGCCCTGCCACTCCTCGGGTCCCTGTGTGCCCTTCCTGCCCCCACCCTCCCAGGCAGTGCTTGGCAGGGAGTACACCTTGAACAGGATCTGTGTGGCTGGTGGAACTGGAAAGTGACTTGTGCCACACAGGAACTTTCCATACAAGAACAAAGTTAGATATTGCCGCTCAAAGAAGCTGAGGCTGGAGCATCTCCCAGCTCTTACCAGCACCTAACCACTACACAAAGAGACAGGCAAGCCAAACACCTGAACCATCAAACCCAGCAAGAGGATAGAAGTCTGCAATGATGGGGAAAAACCCAGGTTAAATAAATATGTCTGTCATGTAGGAATACTTCTCTCAGAGCACTTTCCCGCTACTTCTTGGCTCTAGCTTTTAATATCTAGCTGGGTAGGCCCTGGTCTTGCAAACCTTTGAAGTGTGGCTGTATCTTGAAGCAGGTGAGCAAGCATTCTGAACTCAGCAGGAATAATTAAGGATAATACCAGTTAAACAAACTAATTAAAGATGATTTGAAAGATCAAGACCTGTCAGACACCTGTGATTTCTGTCTTCAGGATCCAGAGTCTTTACATCTTCTGCTTGTCTCTTCCTTCCCCTCCCATGATAAGGATGCTCTGGAATCCCAGGACTGCTGGTTAGGCCCCTGGCAATTGCTGGGCAGGTGACAATGGGGCAAATAGTAATGCCAGAGGAATACAAGTTCTTCCTGTTTGCCCCCTTCCTCTTGCAGTAGGAAGTACCTAAAATACTTTGGAGTATTCTTTTTTTCAGACAGGCTGTTGTGTTCTGGGGTATAATAAAACTGGGAAATACTTAGACCCTGGTTAGCATGAGGAATTAATACTCCCAGTCTAGATATTTGCCACTGTGCTCAGATAGAGAAAACACTTGTAAACTGGTTTTCTTGGTGGGGCTTCTTGAAGCCAATAAAATAACAGCTATCTACCTGTGCACCCATGTATTCCTTGCTTTTTTCTTGCTTATTAGTTGTAATGCTTATTAGTGATGCTTATTATTAGTGATGACTAAGGTGTGACAAGCCTTAAGGACCAAGCTTGTCCTGCTCAAGTCTTTTTTTTTACGCAGCTGACATCCAATCCTTCAGCACAGAGCATCATACGATAGATGGCATGGTTTAATACTTTTTTGCCCTGCATATTCATTCTGTATTAGTAGACAATCTGGCTTCTAGTGAGATTGGAATCTTTGGTAAACGTTCTCAAGTACCCTGCTGTGTCTTTCAACTGATGTAATTCTGCTTCTCTGGCCTTACATCCTGTCATTTTAGCATTTTTGCTTCCTGTGAAACAGAGAAGGAATCAAGTATAAATTTAGAAGCCTAAACAAACTCTATATGCAATTATAATGATTTGCTAAATACCTTGTGCAGAAGCCTGATCCTAATCCTCTCTTTTATCTACGGGTGATGTTAAATGCTTTTCTTTTTCCATAAATATTGAGACTAAGCAGGTGTAGATTGCTTCATTAATATTATTGATGTTATACATCTTTTGCATTGGCAAAGTTTTTCATGTATATATTTGTCCAAATCTTTAATATTACCTTCTTCTTTTGGTTGCATTTGGCTTGCTTTTTCCCTGGTTTAAGCATGAGTTGTTTCACAGGGCTCTTCTTTCTTTCTTCCCCATTTTAACAGCTTATCAAAGCTGTTAAAATCTAGTCCAGGAGTCTACTCAAAAAGACCAAGCTCAGTCAGAGGTGAAGTGAACTTTCTTTTGTTAAGCTCCTGAAAGATGGGAAGTTGTGTCAAATACTCCACGTGTGCAGGCACCTGGAGGGCAGATGGAGAAATAAGATGGCTTGATAGACTAGGATTATCGATGAGATGTGATCAGATCAGTGGTGATGCACTGGTGTCCTCTTTCCTTCCAAATATCATCGCAGGTATCCACTTAGATAAGGGTGTAACATCTCTGTGGACAGTTGTGGTCAAGCAGGAATAAAACTATTCCAGAAAGATTTGACCAGAGGTGAGTTTTATGACAGATCTGAGACTAAAGCTGAGGTGTGTCCTGTAAAATGCCAAGAAACTAGGAAGTTTCTTGTGAAGTGAAGAAGCTTTTGGCATCCCTGGATGCAATGTTGCCATAATCTGAGGGCAGAGAATTCCTTTTGTCCATATGTGGATCCCTCTGAACAGCAATGAAGCCTACGGATCCAGCTACAGCTGACCCAGCAAAACAGCGCTGCTGTCTCTGAGAGGGAGAAGTCTTTCTCCTCCCCCTGCTTCTGGACAAATGATCTCTCTCTTCCCAGAGTTATTTTCACAGATATTGGACCAACTTCTGTGCTGAAATGGTGGAAAACTAAAAATTCTTCTCCCACCTCAGGAGGACAAGCTGTATTGCAGTAGAGAAAGGCAGGATTGGGACAATACCAGGTAAATGGCATCATCACCTTCAGCTGGATGGAAGGAGAGACCACATGAGCATGTCCAAGCAAGCAGGTGAGATCTGGGACACAGCTGGGACTAGATAAGAGTGTTCATCAGTCACAAGCTCAGCTCTCTCCTTGAAAGTCCTCCCTGATCTTCCTTCTAGGTGGGAGCACACAGCACACACTGACAGGAGTTCTGGATCTTTGTGGCTCTCTCATCAATGTCTTTGAATTCTGATCTGCTGAATCCTGCCTGTCTTACAGATTTTCTGATTTAAGGGATGATGGGAGTAGTTGGTATTGGAAACTTGAACAGAGTCCTCTGCTTATTCCCCAAGGAGGTCCAAATAGCTGAACTCTGCTGCTAACTCTCCTGATTCATGTGATCAAAGGCTCAACACTCCATGCTGACACTCTGAGCCACCCAGGCCCTGGGAACATGGTGTTCTGTCTGGGGCTGTGATAAATTACATTGCCACGTGGCTTACTGCAGAAACAGGTAAAGATCCTGGGCTACCTGCTCAGGAGCACGAGGAGCAATCTTTCCCCAGAAGTAACCTTTAGGAAGGCTTTATAGAAGACCACAGGAAGGCACGGGGAGCCTGCCAGGGTTCAGACAGCGAAGATGGGTCAGTGGGACAGCATGGTTATTCCAGGCAAAGCTACTCCCTGGAAAAGGACTAAATACTGTTGGAGAACATGAATCCTTCACCCCAGATAATTTGCAAGTGTGCTGTCTATGGGTGTTTTGTTTGAGGACTTTCTTCTGCCCTGCGAAGTGTTTCATGATTCTAGCCACAGAAGAGATGACCAAATTCTCCCCCAGCTGAAGCTGGCCTGACTTAGACTAGTGTTGCTCCACTGACTTCTGTCCAGCCACTCTGACTTTCACCGATGAAAGGCAAGACAATCAACTCTAACACAAACAAACCCAGAGCTGTTTAGCT